AGAGAGAGAGAGAGAGAGAGAGAGAGAGAGAGAGAGAGAGAGAGAGAGAGAGAGAGAGAGAGAGAGAGAGAGAGAGAGAGAGAGGAAAACATAAGCTGATAGACAACAAAAGCCATTCAACTACCGGGCACCTGGGCACCAATGAGGTGCCAGAGTTAAAAAAACTTCCCAACCACCACCTCACGGCACAGGTGACAGTATCCTGGCGTGCAGGCATCCATCGCACAGAAACAAGACCCTGCCTTTCCAGGCCCAGCTCATCTTGAAGAAGGAGAAGGTTCTTTTGCTAATTACCTTTGCCTTCTTCATTCCGCTGACATTCTACACCAGAACCCTCTCAAACCCAACGACTCAAACGCAAGGACTACAGTACATTTTGGTTCGATATTGGTTCTATATCTTCCCCTGCCTCTCTCATCGCATATCCAGGCATAACGCCCCCCACCCCCTCTCCCCCTCTCCCGCAAACAAGCAGAGGGGAAAAGAGGGTGCCACAGTGGGGAAGAGGTTGAGAATGAGGGGAAACAGGGCACACGTAGCGAGGGGAAAAGAGGGTGCCATAGGTGGAAAAGAGGTTGAGAATGAGGCGAAACAAGGCACAAACCGAGAAGAGGTCGATGTACGTTTGAGAACAAAAGGGCACAAGGAACAGGTGGAAGTGAGGGAAGAGGTTGAGGGAAGAGGTCAATGCTCCAACTTTTAAAGACGCTAGAAAGACCCCGTAGACAACGGTCTTACCTGGCAGCTCGATATGCTGGATCTGCAACAAGTGGGTTCGGGTATGTCTGCCGCCACAACGTCGTTATTATAGCCAAAAGTAAAACACACCAAAGAGAAGCCCCAAGTCCCAAGTCCCAACACAGCAGGCAAGAAGCAAGCAAGACAGTCATTGGCCAAGGGAAGCCAGCTCCAACGATCAGATTCAGTCGCATAATTTCAAAACAGTTTTCAGCAGGCAAGAATCAGGCAAGACAGTCATTGGCCAAGGGAAGCCAGCTCCAACGATCAGATTCAGTCGCATCATTTCAAAACAGTTTTTTCTCCATCCCATCACCAAAAAGATGAACTGGAAAAGCCAAACATGCAAAAATTGCACAGCAGCATTTTATTGCAACAACACACACACACACACTGTAGCATATCAGAAAGTGAAATGCACTGAAAGCCTAGGATCTAGCAATGACGAAAGTGGCAACAACCAGCAGCATAGGTGCAACATTCACAAGGTGTCAATGTGCGCGACGCAAAGAGTGAAACAACGGGAACTCAATAACAACACATTCGTATCATCATCATCATAGGCTGGGAAGCAGCGCAGCAGAAGATCTAGTATCAAAGGACTCGTGGACAACAACATGAAGGGAGAAACTTCGGAAGGGCAAGACACCAGAAAGATTGCCCTTCCACTCACACACATGGGGAGAGATCCATAGACATGCGAGAGAGAAGGGGGAGGGACATAGAGGTAGCCAAGTCCAACCCAAGTCTGATCTCCGAATGCCGCACACAGTTCAATCCCAATGTAGAGTGTAAGTCCGATCTGAATGTCGTGTCCAATAAGGCAGAAGGCCGTGTCCAAACAATGTCTGCAGTTAC